AAAAAAAAAAAAGAGAGAGAGAGAGAGGAGTAAGCAAGCAGGTGATGGTACAGTTGGGTGACAGGTGCTTTGATGGAGGTGATATGCCACCGCACTCCATCCTGGGTGACAGAGTGCAACCCCCCGACTCAAAAAAAAAGAAAAAAGAGGCCGGGCTTGGTGGCTCAACCTGTAATCCCAGCACTTTGGGAGGCCAAGGTAAGTTGTTGGGAGCCAGCCTTGGACGCCCGCCTGATTGACAAAGACGGAGGAATTTTCTTTGTCTTGCCCCTTTACAAATGGCATAAAAGCTTTCCCTTAGCTAACATTAAACGTCATCTATTCAGGAAGCAGGTGTCCGAGTATATTATCTTCGTCTTTCGCCTATCTGTCTCTCCTTCAGGAAATCTCACGACGCTTGCAGGGCTGGACCCCTTCAGTAAGGGGATTGCCTGAGCCCACGGCCCCAAGGGAGGGGCAGGGCAGGGCTGGGCAGGAGGTGATGAAGGAAAGTCCCATGCCAGGAGTGATGGGCGTTTCCTCAAGCAGGCGAAGGAGGGAGGGCATCCAGACAGGGGATACAGCAGGTGCAAAGGCCCAGAGGCCTGGTTTACTGGAGTTGGCATGATAGGAGGGGGCAGGTAGGGGGGAAACTGCAGCAGTGGGAGATGAAGTCAGAATGGGGTGGGTGTGAGGAGACAGCTCTTGGAGAACTGGATGCCAATAAGTCCAGGGAGCCGTGAAGTGGGTGGAGGAGGTGGCCATGTCCACTGCCCGTTCACCTCCTGCGCCCAGGATCATGGCCAGGCCCATGTGGAGCTGTGAGGATGGGGTGGCAAAGGCCTTGTGCGGGGGGGAGGGGAGGAGAATGGACGTATGGGGTGGAGGTGGAGGGCCATGCAGCTTTGCCCTTTTGCCCTGAAAGAAAGGTGAACCTATCCATGGCACACTCCAACCATCATAATTTGTAATTGAAATTTATATTAGTGAGCTTAGAACATCACACTGGTGGAGTTAGCATGCGCTTTTCTTTTTTCTTTCTGTTTCTTTTGAGTTGGAGTCTCGCTCTGTCACCCAGAGTGGAGTGCAGTGGCACGCTCCGGGCCACTGCAGCCTCCACCTGCTGGGCTCCGGCGATCCTTCCGCCTCAGCCTTCCGAGTAGCCGGAATTACAGGCATGTGCTACCACGCCCGGCTGATTTTTTGATTTATTGTAGAGATGAGGTCTCGCTGCCCAGGCGGGTCTCGAACCCGCGGGCTCAGGCAATCCACTCACCTCGGCCTCCCAAAGCGCTGGGATTATAGGCTGAGCCACCAAGCCCGGCCTCTTTTTTTTTTTTTTTGAGTCGGGGGGTTGCACTCTGTCACCCAGGATGGAGTGCAGTGGCATGATCACAGCTCACTGCAGCCTCAACTGCCTGGGCTTAGGCCATCCTCCTCCCTCAGCCTCCCAAGTAGCTGGGACTACAGGTGCGCACCACCATGCCTGGCTAATCTTTTAATTGTTTTTGTAGAGATGCAGTCTTGCCATGTTGTCTAGGCTGGGTCTCGAACTCCTGGTCCCAAGGGACCTCTTGCCTTGGCCTCCTAGAATTCTGGGATTATAGGCATGAGCCACCGCGCCTGGCCAGAGTGCACTTTTCTAAGTGATAACTGATTTGGTGAGAATTCAATCCTCTATCAAGGGCCACTGGAAGAGAGAGGGCAGAAGGACAAATGTGAGGGCCCCTCTCACTTGATGACTCCTGCAAACTGGGAGTAATTCAGGGGGATGCACTGCAACCCGGGCTGGAAGGCCCTGAAGGAGCCATGGGCCCTCTATGGGTCACACTCCAACCTCTGAGAAGCTCTGGGATTAGCACAGAGGGCTGGGCACGACAGACACGAAAGGAGGGCCTGAGGCCTGGATGCAGGGGCTGAGGCCTGGATGCAGGTGCTGAGGTGCTGAGGATGGAGGTCACCTCGGGTTCGTCTTAGGCTTCTCCGTGTCCACCTCATCCGACAATGGGAGACGCTGGGGGCATGAAGCAAGGAAGGACTAGGGCAGTGAGGCGGCCGGGTTCCCGTCCAGGGCCATGGAGACGGAGCAGCGCAGCCCTGCCACCCCCTCCCAGTCTGCCCTCCCGGTCCAGCCCCCTTGCCTCGATGAGCTCCTCCTTGGACGTGTACTCTGAGACCACGACACTCTCGCCGTCGGTGAAGCGGGTGAGGCTCACGTGGAGCTTCCCCGTGGCCACCTTGTAGGAGTCCTCGGGCAGGACCTGGTACAGAAACTGCCTCATCATCTGCACCATCTTGCAGGACGGGGACAAGGGCCCCAGGAAGGATTTCTTCACCTCGGCCACGCCCACGTTGAGGACTCGGAGGTACTCGTCTGCAGAGCAAGGAGAGGGGGGCGGTCCTTATCACCCGGTGGCCAGGGGGCAAGAGAGGTCTGGGGTGATTTGGCCAACTCCTCCTGCGACCGACCAACCGGGAAACCTGGGATTCTGAAGACAGCCAGGTCCCAGGATTTGGCCTGCTATTTTGCACATGACGGAAGCAAGACACTGAAGAAGGAAGTCACTGGCTCCAGGGAATCCACAGCCAGGCCATGGCAGAGCTGGACCTGGGAGTCCTGACCCATGTCCAGGAGTAGCTACATGATAGACACTTTCATATCGACAGCTAGAGGAATATGTTCCCACCCCAAAATAGCTCTCCCCAACTGCTTTTTTTTGGAGGGGAGATTTTACTCTGGCACCCGGGCTGGAATACAGTGGCATGATCATGTCTCACTACAGCCTCAAACCCCTGTGCTCTGGTGATCCTTCTGCTTCAGTCTCCCATGTAGCTAGGGCTAAGGGTGCATGCCACCATGTCTGGCTTATTATTTTATTCTTTATAGAGACGAGGTCTCACTATGTACAATGTTTAGGCTGGTCTCGAATTCTCAGCCCCAAGTGATTCTCCTGCCTTGGTCTCCCAAAGTGCTGGGATTACACGTGTGAGACACCATACCTGGCCAACTTCTTGTCACCCTGCCTGGAAATCCACTACCAGACCACGTTTCTAGGGGCCTACATGAGATGCCAGTGAAAACACTGGAAGCCGGGCTCGGTGGCTCAGCCTGTAATCCCGCACTTTGGGAGGCTGAGGTGAGT